CCACATGGCCCAAATGCCCACTGCTCTGGTTGTTTCACTCACACAGAGAGCCCCCCCCTCTGGAAATGCCTCCCCCAGCATTTGGGTTGTTGTTCTTGCAGGGGGGTGCTCGTGAAAAGGTTCACGGGATAAACAAGGTCCCTGTCAACCCAGCCGGTGTTGAGGCTTGGACTGGAATTGCTCGCCTTCGCTCCGGCCCCTCCTTGAGCCCTCTCACCTGTGGCCAGCAAGTTTGCGGGTCTAACTGACTGACCTAGGCCAACAGTACAGACCCCGTCCCTGCGGATTTGACCCCAGCTGCCATGCCCGTCCTGAGTCGTGGGTACTGTGCTCATCCATTTTCTACCCCAGCTGGAGCGAGGGCACCGAAGGTCACCACAGTGGGTTGCCTGAGACTGGACACATCTGCTCTCTCCTGCTGTGTCAGAGCAGCCCTGCCTACACCTGAGCTCGGGTTAATGCCCTTTGCCAGTGCCCTGACCCTGTTCCCTGCCTACAGTTTCTCGGCAAAGAAAGGAGCCGAAGGGACCAGCTGTTAGTGTAATGGTTATGTCACGGACTCCCATGTAGTCTACTGCAGTTCAAGTCCTGGACCCAGTCGCTTAAATTCACGCTGGGCACGTGTGCATGCGTGCCCAAGATCCCGAGAGGAGAATGGAGGAGAAGGGATTGCGGCTTTGCCATCCTCCCGGGGGGTGATTTCTCACTTTCTGTCTCTCTGTCTTTGTGGCAAGTGCATGCGCCCTATAGCAAAAACCTCTCAAAAAAAAAAAAAAAAAGAAGAAGAAGAAGAAAAGAAAGGAGCCCAAGATGGCGGAGCAGCCCCAGCCTGAGGTCCCATGGGGCTCTCTCTGTGTCCCTGGCAGGAGCAAGGCCCCATAGACATCTAGACACACAGAGCTAACGCTGTGATGATGCAAGGCACGTCCCTGTGAGAGTCCTCCCCACTACAGCCCTCAGTCCCCAGGCCCCGGTGTCCAGCGCAGGGCAGCACGCCATATTGCACTCGGCATTTGTGAACACCCTGGAGGGTGGCGCCTCATCCTGCCGGGGCCTGACCTCGGTGGGTTCCTCAGCTGAGCCCTCCGAAGGCCACGCTGTGGCTCTGGCATGTCAGCCGAGGTGCAGACGATGGGACCGTTGAGGCCCCACTTGGTGATGAACGCCACATTCTTTTTGCAGTCACATGGGTAAAAAGTACGCTGTGCTCGATTCTCTTTGTAAGCCCCTGAACGTGGGCCTGGTCGAGTCCTGCGTGCAAATGAGGCAATGCAATGCCTGTGATACGCTCGGACACCTGTGACACACTGGCTTACGGAAGCGGGTTTGCTGCCCCCCAGAATGGCGGACCCAGCATAGTGACCTTGCCGTCACTGGCTGACTGCTTTTGGGGGGCGCCCCTCGCTGGCCTCAGCACTGGTCCCTGTGACCAGCAGGTGGACGCTCAGCAGCAGCCGAGGTCAGGTCACCCCGGGGGTGGTGGGGAGCTGTGAGTTGGGCCCCACAAGCTCTTCATGGCCTCGTTGTGCCGATACGGGGGTGCTGGTGACAGGGGCCACTGTGCCAGCTGGCTGAGTCACCGTCTGCTCGGCGGGCCAGGGCCGTCTCCGCGGTGCATCCAGCCTGCCTCTTTCCAGACGACATTCTCCGTTCCAGCACTTTCCCTCCCAGCCCTGGCCCGCCCCGCCAGGCCCTGTGACCGCCTGCGAGTCTTACACAGGCTCCACGTGGTCACCTCTTCTCTACCAGGTGGTGGCGTGTACCGCCGTGCCTGAGCAGATGGCCCCATCGCTGTCCTCCGAGCCATAAGTGGGGCTGGTTGCCAGTACAGCCGCTCTGGCTGGTATCAAGTGCCGAACTGACCCACTTGTGGGCCATGCCCATCGCTGCTCCTGAAGAACCCCACACATGGCCCCAGGTGGACGCAGGGGGACAGCTGCTGGGGCGACGGTGGTGCATGGCGTGGCAGGGGGACCCGTGTTCCCAGCCTGGCCAGCTGACTCGTCCCCTCTGGAATGTGCTCAACCCCGTCTACACCGCTTCATTGCGTGATGGATGGCCGTCCAGTTTCTCAGAGTCCACCTCATGATGGAAGTCATTTATGTCCCACGACTGGAGAACCCTGTTTTAGGGTCTGACTAACAGGGTGTCGCTGATGTGGATACAGCCGGCCGGTGTAGGTGGTCTAGGTGGTCCAGATCTCCAGGCTGTCCCAGCTGAGCTAGATGGTCAGGAACGCGAGGAGTCACCCCCAGGGAGATGGTCCCTCTCCTCCTGGGATTTGGGGGCACACAAACACACACACGAGCCTGGCTTTCAAGCTGCCAGGTCCGGGACTCAAACCAGGCAAGGTCGGCCATGTTGGAATCCAGCACCATAACCACCATGCTACCTGCTGGCCCTGAGACCATGGCGTTTATCATTCCTGTCTTATTTCACGTAAGCCACCTCCATTGCAGGGTTTCCACGAGCCGTCTCAGCAGTGCCGAGCTCTTTCCTGGGTCCTTGCCAGGCTACCAGGCCCTTGGTCGCAAAGGTTACTCCACAGTAGCCGTCCTCGTCCTGCCCGGGCGCTGTCCCCACGTGTACACACTCCACCTCGCCGGTCCATCACCGCCACTTCTCTGGCTCTGCGTTTTCATCTTTTAATACTACATCCTCTTTTTCAGCAAGACAGATCATAAAAATGAAAATAAAAAGAATCCAGAGAAGAAAAAGAAGAAGGAAAAGAGCAAAGAGAAGAAAAAGAATAAAAGCAAAGATAAGAAAGAAGAGTGAGTATTTTTCCTGGCATTAAAGTTAAAATGAATTTGGGACCAGCAGTTGGCTTCATGGCTGTCGCCAACTGCTGGTCAGACAGTGAGAGGGAAAGTGGGAAATTATCCCCCAGGGATGGCCACACCATAATCCCTTCTCCTCCGCCCTCTTCCTAGGTTCTTAGAGGACACCAGGGGGTGTCCCAGCATGAGTTTCTAGCCACTGGGTCCAGGACTCAAACTATGGTCGACCATGTGTGAGTCCAGTGACGTAACCACTCTGCCACATTGCAATCCCTTCTCCTCCATTCTCCTCTCGGGATTCTGGGCACACACGTCCCCAGTGTGTTTTATGTTGCTGGGTCCAGGCCTCGAACTGTGGTCAATCATGTGGAAGTCTGGTGTCTTAACCACTATGCCACCTGTTGGCCCCGCCCGTTGTCTCTCCTAGCATCGGCATGCTCATGCACCAGCCTCTGTACTGCGTTGTGTTGTATTCTTCCTCCTCCCCTCCGGATGGGAGAGAAGCCAGGAGCCCCCCACCCCCAGGGCTGCCTTGGTTACTCTGAGCTGACGGGAGGGGGCGCACGTCACTCTCCCACCCCAGGACCTACCAGAGAAGCTGGCAGTGGCCACAGCTCTCTGCAGCCCTGGCTCTGCTCCTGCCTAGGGGCCGAGCACAGAACCCATCGGCATCATGAGAGCGCGGTGCTTCCGTAACATCAGATACACAGCTGAGCACACCCGGTCCTCAGTCTGCCACCTCCAAGGACCCGTTCCTGATGGCCAGGGCACTGCCCAAGCCAGCCTTCCCGCTGCGGAGTGGCGTCCCCACTTCCTTCTCTGTCCTGGCTAGGCGGTGCGGGCATAACCACACTGGACATGGTACATTAACGGTCTGGTTTTCGGTAACCTTCCCTCTTTCTAATTGCTGCTAGGGAGAAGAAAGAAGTCGCGATTATGGACCCCTCAGGGAACACGTATTACAGATGGCTGTTTTGTATCACCTTACCTGTGCTGTACAACTGGACCACGCTTATTGCAAGGTGTCTCTATATATAAATATAGAAATGATGTCATAGAGTATATAAAATATGATATATAAAATATACAAATAAATTTTACATAAAATTATAGAAACCTAAATATATAATTTTATATAAAATATATACTCTATTATATAAAAGATACTTATATATTATATAAAATGTAATTTTACATGTTATATGAAATATATATTATCCATAGGACCAGCACTCGACATAATGGCTATGTTGCTGGATTCCCATGTAGT